AGCTGATGTGTATGTATGGATACCTGTCTGCGAAACACTTGCGAGGTAACACAAAACCTAGGCGGCAACTCCTACTACTTTTTTCTTTATCAAACTGAAGAATAATGCCGAAGTCCAGGTTTTCTTTGGGTTAGTTGCTGGAAGAACTTCATGTTCTTGCAGACTAACACTACAAGGTTTTGCTTTCTTCAAGAACTCCCCATAATGAAATTTCAGTGGTGTACAGCAGAAAAGTGGTAGGCATCCAAAGTATTTTCTTGATTTATACAGTTTCAGTTTGTATGTATAGCACATCTCATGTACATTTCTGAGATATACTGCTTAAGTAATTTATCAAAATCCTATTAGACTTGGGACACACAAAACACTAAGAGCAATGAGAACCCTCCCAGGACTCAGTTGACTCTGGCGGCAAGTGATCACTAGTTGCATAGTCAGTGCAGAATGGCTGCATTAACCAAAATCTCAACAGAAGTGGTGAAAGTTCTACTTCAAAAGGAACATACTTCTCATTAACACATTTCTTGCCCACTCCCGACAAATACTCAAATCAAAGGGATTTTCTTTTTACTTAGGCTACAAGCACTTGCCACCACTTTCAAAGCAGGCATCAAAACAATACAGGACACGTGAAACATCAGAACATGTGCAGTAATGGAGATCCAAAAATATTTTCCTGCCTACCTCAGCTGGTGACCACGGAGACAAACAGACCGTCAAGTCTTTTTTCCACTTGTGACATGGGCGGTTGTTTCCCCCGGGTTTCTTTTGTCACTGGAGGATTATGACATTTTATATGTCACACACAGGCTCTGATCACACTCCTGTTGTAACATGAGATGTAGCAGAGGTTAGCAAAGACACGTGCTACTTGAACATAACAAACAGAGCTCAGTGAAAGTGACACAGCGTATCAGCAAATGCTTTGCAAACACTGAGTCTGCCAGGATGCTGTCTGCCCTTGTTCACGGGATATTACAGATTCAGTACCAGCTTACAAGGGAACGGCAACTGGAGACAAAATACACCAAAAAAATAGACAACAAGTATTAAATAAAATAAAGACTGGCAGTCACAGGTTAAAATGTTCAAGCAATAATTTTCCAGGTCAAGGAAACTGTTTATCAGTGACAGCTTTTCAGCTGTTACCGCACATCCTTAAGTTACTCCATCTTCTTGATGTGCAACAGTTCTGTACAAGAGACAAAAATAAGCTGCCAAGATTCAAATGTGTTCAAGAATACAGCTTTACAACTGCTATAATATTCTGAGTGAGCACTAGCCTAAAAACCAGCACTGGCTTCCTGATAATCCATTATCAACATTACACAGACAAAAGACCATAGTCTATTAGAGAGAATGACACCTATCTGCAGTACTACCAGTTACCTTTGGTAAGCAGAAGACAGCATTTATATTCCTTCTGTCCTGGACAGGGAACTATTTTGAGGCTTTCTGCCTCTTTGTCAGGAAAGAGCCAGAGCCCTCTCCACTAAGTATGTACATAAATGAACGTAGAAGAATCTACATGCTTCTGTTTCCTCAGAAATCACTTAATAGAATACTCTTTATTTTTTGGAAAAGAGAATTACATTAAAAAAAAACAATAGCCTTTCACCCACACATTAATCCTGTCCATCCCTTGCTCTATTGAAGCCATTAACAAGATCAAAGCTTAACTTAGTTTACTGCTGCTATTGACTACATACTTCATAATTAATCTTAATATGCATATTGTAATTTATCTAGCAATAACAGAAAAAAAGTACATTCTGCTCTTCACATACCAACTTTCAGCAACTACCAGTTTTTCTCAAATACGGTTAATAATCCTAAACATTTACCGTAACTTTGCAGCAAAAATCTCTCGCAAAAAACCTATGATAATATGTAAGATACATTAAAATTTTCCCCAAAAAGGATTTTCTTCTTTGTGTCTTAATAGCATTGTTGCTCAAAAAACCACTTACAAAAATCTTCATTTTTCAACTTTTTCCTTTTTTTTTTTTTGTTGGTTTTGTTTTAATTCTGCTGTTCTCTGAACCTTAGTATGCATTGACCAAATAGAAGAAGGGAAAACTCTTTCCTCTGGGAAGAAAAATATAAAAAAATTATAATCTCAGTTTTTCTATTACTAAATTCCTGATTTTGTTGATGTAAAGAAGGCAAACACACAAACAAAAAATAACGTCACCTTTGCAATGTTTTCCCACTCCAGACACATCAAAGAGTCACCAACCTAATTCTCCTTGCAGTTTAATTAAGAACATATAGTTAAAACACCATCAGACATCTCAGTATATGGTACTAATTGATTTTGTTACCTGAACAGTTTAACTAGATTAACTTTTATAATAACTGTAGCAATAAGTTAAAGTTCTCTGGACCTAGAAATGTACAAGTCTGATAAACTCTTTAACAAAAGTGATTCCAAAAAATGTGAGGAAGTATTCTTTACTCCAGTTTCTAACGCTTATTTCTCCTGTATTTGTCTTACACACATACAATGTATTTGATTTACATGAAAAAATTGTTTGTATTAAACTGGCAAAGAGGCAAGTTTCACGTACCTCTCTGGTACCAAAAAGAGCATGAGACGACTTAGTATGCTTTTACACATAGGTGGGCATCACGAATAAGTGAAATATTCATTATATGTCTCCTTCAAAATCTGCAGGAATCCTCAATTTAATTAAGTATATGCATTTCAACAGGCAAACCGAATGCAAGAGTCACATCTTACTGAATAATTATACCTCATGACACATCAACCACGCAGTTTGTCTTCAAAACTAATACTGTGAAAAACTACTAAAAATACAGGAAAATAAGTTCTATATTTAATTAAAAGTAAAAAGAGCATAGAGGTTATGACATAACATCATAGAGGTTATGACACAAAATTATACAACACATACCTATAGTGATACACTCCTCTGTCACATACCGTGTAACACCGAGGTCACTTGTTCCACACTGAACCGACACATTCCAGAACATTATACGAAATGGGGTTCTCCATATGCAGGTTTTCTCCAGGATCCTCTTCACATGAATTGACACCAGCGTAACTGCTGTGACCTATTTTGTACAGTTACATTACAGTCCAGACCAGACCATATTTCTCTTGCTTTATCATCGTTTCTTCTTGTTTGAATTCAGATCAACATAGGGGACACTGAATTACAATTTCAAACCTGCAGATACAGCTGAAGGTTACCGCCTTACCTGCAGAAACCTTGCAGGTGCCTCACTCAAGCCTAACTGGTTATATGTAACTTGAGACAAGTCAATAAACAGGAAGACATCACTTCAAAGTTTTCTCTAATGCTAATAACAGTGACAGTTCCTTCTTGTCCCTCATCAACTTTGCTACCGGTAAGTGACCTGGTTTTGTTAAAAAAGAGAACCTGTAAACTTGAGTGTACAACTTACTTGTAAATGGGAAGGACACCTGTAAGCTTATTAGTTTGTTGTCAAGGAGCATTATAGGCTTCCAAAAGAAAAGAATGGAAGTTGAGGACCAACAGTCCTATAATAGAACAGGAGGCTTTCTAGGAAAAAAATAAGACCCTCTGATACAGACCCTATAATGAGAATCACCCCTATTAGTGGCAGGCTTTCTTCAGTTTCTGAGAGAAACACAAAGTGTCTTCTGCTTATTTTCTGGATAAAAGTTATGAGTTTAGAAAAGAATACTATTGGGATCCAGTGCTGGGTCTTAAAACTGAACATGTAACATACAGACATCCATGCAGAAGAATGGGATCCAAACCATTAGTAGGGAAGGTAGTGTTAATCACTGAATATATAAACATTTTCTATGCTAGTAATACTACTACTGTTATTCCTTTTTTGCTCTTCTGAGTAGAAAATCTACCATACAACAAACAGATTTGAGTCAACCATGAGATAAAGATAAAAGAATTATGCTGTACATTTCAGCAAAATTGTCCCCATTGCAGTTCAGAAAGAAGCTGAATTCTTTTCCCAGGAAAACTACGAGCAAGATGTCCTAATGCAAGTTCCTTTTACAAAACACTGACAGGACCAAAATGAATATCAACAGTTTATTAATGACAGAGCCTTAATATAAACTGCTGATAACTCAGGAATTTCATATGGAATCACCCTCTGAAGTTACAGTTATACTGTCTTTGTAGATATAAAATTCTTGGTTATCTAGCTGTAGTACAAGAGGACTTGTGGGAACTCTTTTCAAAAGATTTACTGCAGTAAACAACTCAATCTGATACCTGGAAGTATTTGATTGTTACTTAGTTGTAAAGCAGTATTTTTTCCAGTGCTCATCAACAAGATTAAGAAAACAAAGGTAGTTACGTGGGATGAAGAAATCAAGTAAGAAACATTCTGGGAATGAGACATTCACCAGAAAATCAAATACATGTTCACTGGGCAGTTGTAGCTGTGTGCACCATTCTGTTAAGATGTTTTTCCACTTGCCTTGCCAGTCACAATGATGAGTATGAATAATGTACTTAAGCTAAATTGCTCAAAGTTTTCACTTTGGTCTTGTTTCATGTAAACAAAAAAAAATGTCCTCCTCAATGCTCACACAGAGAGCATGACAGATTTCCCCAGTTTCTGTACCCATACATTTCATCATCTCAAGAACCAGTTCAAGTTAATGAGAAAGCTCTAAATAAAATGAGACAAAATCATGGTACAACAAAATGCAGAATTAAGAGCTGAATAAAATATGGCTAGATGCAATGAGCAGACAATCAGAATGACAAATTCTGCATGGATTCAAAGAATTTTAATGGAGTCTTGAAGCTTAGATACAGACAGAGTTGCAGACAGCCAAGGGTTCAGTTCCAGATGTCCAGAATTTCCAGGTAACATCATCAGTACCTAAGTTTCTAAGGCTGTAACTGAAAAGATTAAGTTTGCTTAAAACTTCTTTTTCTTTTTCTTGTTTTTCTTCTTTTTTTTTTTTTTTAATGAGGACAAAATTTTCCCAAAGTTCTTTTATCTCCAACTTCTTATTTTCAAGCTATATTTTACTTCAGGTGAATGTCTTTCTTTGGTTTTTATCCTACTAGTATATTAAAAAAAAACAGGGAGAGAAATGACATATGAACACATTACAGTTGTTTCTCTTGACTATGCTTACTAGTCAGGTGAGAAGTCTGGAGTTCGTACACGTACAAATAGAGTACTTTGGAACGTGAGATCCATTCTTCTCACATACACTGTAATTAGCTGTCAGTTTCACCATGGACATTTTCCATGTGCACTTTGAGGTAGTCATTTCTTGTAAACTTCTTGTGGCAAAGCTGGCATTCTGCCATCGGTCGATTGGGGTTGTGAGTCAGCTTGTGGCGGATCAGCATTTTCTTCAGGCTGAAGGACAGATCACAAACCTAAGGCAGCGAAGACAAGACAAAGACGAAAGAGGTCTTAAAACTTCTAATGTGTATAATGCTCCTTACATTACATCACTGAGGCCACAGCCACACATACCTGCAATACTTAATAAATGAGCTGGTCTTTGGAAGAATAACTCCTTCAGAGCGCACCTTAAATATTATTACTCTGTCTGGTATCTTTCAGTGTCGTATGTTAACAGTGGTACCACAAGCACAGAGGGGAAGAGAGGCGGAAAAAGAGGAAAAAAAAAAAAGATAAAAAAGGGGAAAAAGTCCCAATCTTTAAAATATCCACATACTGAGGTGTCCCAGTCACATTGTGGGTTTTTTAAAAACCTGTTATTCTGTCTAGGATGCAGCAAAAACTATGACAAAACCTCACAAGCCTCTGTCAATCCGACCTCAAAATAAATATTTCCTTCCCAGCCAGTTACAAGGAGGGAGGAGTGAGAAAAAAAGAGACTCTCAAGACTTCAAGAAAGGTTAATAATTATTATAGAAGAAACCTCATTGTTCCAGTCATCCTCTGCCTGGCTGAGAAAACAGAAGACATCTTGCAAATGAAGGTGCAATTCCTTTGCTATATTATCTGGTGTGCTACTTCCCTTCTTTCGCTATACTCCAAGAAGTCCAGTTCATTCTGCCATTTGAATAAATTGCAAGTGGGATGTGGGACTCCGCCATGCTAAAACCATAATTTCTTATAAAAATTCCTGTACTGAAGCCAAAATGAAAGGTTAGGAACGAGTTCAGTCAAGAGAAGTTAGAATAAAAAGTTAAGAATCTGCAGGCAAGACATCCAGCCCATTGAAATTGTGCACCTGTGCCACCACGTTCACCTTTCATCCAGGTACATATACGCACGAATTTCCCAGGGAAAAAGAAAAAATTAGAAAGCATGTTCCTGGTTTGACAAATGAAATATGCAAGAGTCATATAATTAAATAAGAATGAACATCCATAGGCTTGCAATCTTAGAATCCAGGTTCATTACAGACAAAAGTGTCTTCCTGAAGAGAAAACTCGGGGAACCCAGTACAATCCCTCTTTAGGAAAACAAAGTTTTAAATTCATAATGGTATCAAACTAGGAATGAAAATACTGAATGACTACTGACTCCTTTTGCAACCAAGACAAATAGAGCTGACTATCCGAGTAGATAATCTTGACCTATAGTATATCTATTTATGCCAATTAAGGCAAAACCACACAATGACCATAAAAAGGGCAACTGCCAGAAGCACGTTTTGTACCCAAAGTACAAGAACACTGTATGTGCTGTTGCAATGGAACAGTTTTGAATTTATGACATGACGTAATACTAAGGACTTTTATACAGCAGCTGTAACTCTCCAACATTTTTCCCCTAAATGTGTAATTACCATTTTCAGACCCAAGCAACAGCCACTCTTTTGTTATGTGACAGTGAACGTCACTAACAGCATCCACTGGTCACGTCTTAATATTGCTTTTGCCAAACACCATTTTCCATTCCTCTTCCACAGAATGCACAAAGTGGACTTATAACATTTTCTAATCATAACCATTGTGCTTGCTCACAAGTCTCAACATCCTAAAAGTACCATATACTTCTAAGTACAATATGTTTCTTGGAAGTCAGGAAGCCGATCAAGGATATATGCACATACAAGATACGCATATGTTCTGTGTATATTATGCACACTTCTTTATTTTTGAAGTGAACAGCTTATAACACAGACCTAAAGTACATTTTCTCATTTGTAATGCTCACATAACAACCAGTATAATGCATCCTGTTGTTCCTTCAAGGCTCTAGCATGTTCTACTACCTAACTTCTTCAAAAAGAAAATGGAATGCACAGGATCATTACTTAAAGATATGATACATCTTGTGCTGTGCTTATGCATAAAAGTTTTGGGGTTTTTTTAAGAGTTTGCTTCGTTTTTAAATTTTATAAGCAAGACTGACATTTTATAGATTTACAACCATGCTTGCTAACATGTACTTGGACTCTAATCAATCTCTTCAAAATGATCAAAGTTTTGATCGAGTAGGGAGGATGGAAAAGATTGACATTTGAAAGTAAGTGTAGGATCAACTAAAGGCA